TCTGTTTTTGGAGTCAACCGTTTAATCACCTAACTTCTATGCCAAAGGGCAGAAAGCACTGGAATGATGCACACAGCATGGGATAAGGTTTCTCACATACGGCTCTTGAAGGGTTTTCTACTGCAGGGGTTTGATTTTTGCCTAAGCAGAGACCTGCCTTAGGCACTGTACAGATCTCCGCTGCACGAGAACCAGTCCTGATTGGAACTGGTTTCATTTATTCCCATGTTTCCCACCTTAAGTGACAAAGGGAAAAGCAGCAAGGGAATGAAAACTCCCAAATGAATGCGTCTGGGAAAAAACAATGCAATGAAAAAATCACCACTGAAAGTGACAGAAGAGTGGGTGGATAATAAGCCCAAATAGGACTTGAAAAAACTTCCCTGAAGGCAGACCTGACAAATGCAGTATTGTATCAATACAGAGGTAGAAATCAAGAAATCTAAAGAAGGAATTGGAAACGAGCTAAATGTGCCTGCCCTGTGGAGGACCAGGAAAATTGCCACAAAAATTTAAGACAAAAAAAAAATCATACAACAACAATTAGGTTTGGTTATCCAAAAAGTTGCAAATAATTAAGTACCAAACTGGGTTGAGAGGGCAAGCCAGAAGTTGAATACATCTGGGCCAGCCTTTCAATTAAAATACATTTGACAGCTAGCCTGAGACTGGGGAAGCTACTTAACTGCTTATTTTCATGTAGCCAGGACCTACAAACTATACACAGATGGTCCCTAACTCTAGCTGGGATACAAGATACATTTTCCAAGTGATATCTTATGCCAGAAATGTTGCGGACAGATTTCTTTTCCTGTGTGTGCTAAGTGTGGCCCAACACCCGAATATTCTGGAGAGATGCAGCAGCACAGTCAGTCAGGAAGGCCAGGAGCATCCCTGCAGGGCTGCTGGCTTCACCCAGTGAATGCTGTGTGCTGCCAGTCTGTGTGTTTTCCTGCTTCTAGCTGCTGCTCTGTGTATTGCACTTGTGTAGGAGTAAATATGTGTACTCTTGTCCTACTCTCCCTCCTCCTCCACTGAATACCTGGGACCTGGTGGGGCAGGAATTCGGAAGTATTCCATCGTATCAGATTGCTTACAGAGAGGAGTAGAGCCCCCTAGACTTGCAAAGGAGTAGTTTTTAATTAGGACTGCATGCTAAGGGTGTCAAGATGCCTTCCTTCAGAAAGAGGCACAGTTTTCACTCCCCATTCTGTACCTGAACCCAGCTGGAGCATACCCGTCAGAGCATTTGGGAGGAGAGAGCGCCTGCTTCATTAACGTCATCCGATCAAGGACCTTATCAAGTGGAATGACAAAGGCAGGAAGCCAAACATAGAGATGTACAATGCACCCAAACAACACTCACAGAGACAACAGCAACAGGGACAGCCCTGGTCAGACAGGGTATTTGGCAAGGGTATGTGGAAAAGGCGGGTGCTTGTTTCAGAAAATCAGCTGAACAAAAACCTTGTCAAAGTACAGTGAACACCAAGCTGGACAGTTGGTGATTTGGGACCATGGAACAGGTAAGGAAGTCTGGGATCTGGGCAGGGCTATCACTATCAGACAACCAGGGAGGCCATAGCCTGTACTCAGGGATCTGCAACAATGCATGTGCTTGCGAGGGTAGAGGGGAGGGAGGCGTGTGTGTTTCCACTAGTGACACTCAGCCTTGTCAGCCGAAGGGGAAAAAGGGAAAGGCTGTGGGTGCTTGTGTGAGCCCTGGGACACTTCAACAGAGGCACTGTTGAAGTTGCTTCTGGTTGAGCAGGAAAGCAGTGGCCACCTTCACCAGTCTGGGGCAGAGACACCAGGTCCCCTCACTGGAGTCCAGCAGGGAGAAAGATGCCCAGCCCCAGAGCTACAGGTAGTGACCCTTTCCTTTACCATCGCTTTGCACAACTGTGTACAGATAATAGAAGTGGCAATGTTAGAAATACCCAAATGTATGCCAGGAGAGACACATTTAAAAAATCTACCAGCAATAATTTGCATATACCTTGCCTGAGGGGAAAGCCTGAGTAGCTTCACATATGACAAGAACATTTTATTTCAATTTGCCAAACACTCAAACTGCCTCCTCAAACCCCAGCTTCTTTCAGCCCAGCTCCTGACAAGAAAATTGCCTTCATTTCCTCTCTTTTTCTTATGAACATTTCATACAAGCAGCAATAAACTGTGCCCCAAGTAACCTCTCTCACTGTAGAGACAAAGTCCAAGCACACTGATTTGAGAAACCTCTCCTTTAATACCCAATGGCTCAGACTGTCCCAGGACTGCCTTCTGCCATAACACAATGCTCTTTTGAATATGCTTGTTCTTGAGTTTTTCTGCTGTTACCTAAAATTTCTGCAGGTCATACCACAAAGGGAGGAAGAGGAGGAAAAGCACGGTAGAAAGGCCATCTCGTAACCCAGCTGGAGAGTGATGAGAGTCACGGAAGAAATAGAAAGTAACTGCGGACATGAAGGAGAGCTAGAGAGCCTGTGTTCACGGGGAAAAGACATGAGGACAGGAGAGAGGGATTCTTTACAGCTGTCTGACCAAGGGATGCTCCAAGGAAATTCAGAGTATTAGTCAGAAAAAGCTTTTTTGTTCCATCTACATTGAAGTGAAGTTTGCCTATTTCACTATTTTTGAACCAGATAACCATGATTTTGGAGCTACGATAAAGCATACACTATAGTAATTATTAATGTAATTACTAGCATATTAAATAGGAGAATTCTGATTACTGTGAATGTTGAGCAGTGAGCAGTGGGTGGTAGTGGCCATGGAAAAGGTGGAATGCTGAACTACACAAGCCCATTTCCATGAAAGGATAATGAAAAGCTTCTGAACAGAATTTGTATGATATAATTTAAGGTCTTTGTAACACATCATCTTTTTATTCCCACACTTCTGGCAAACTGCCACCTTTCTATATGCTTAATATTTTATAATAACTATGATTCCAAAGAATAAATTACTATATTATAGAATTTTCTCTAGTGTTTACTGTGTTTCCCTGGCATGTATTGTTAATAAGCCCCATGTCACATACAAGCATTTTAAAATGCTGGTTTACAGGAGAAATCTTTCATAGCCCCTAAGACGATGCAAAACCTACTTCATCCTTACATACACAGCATCTAGCTGCATACTTCTCAAGGAACAGACATGTCTCCCTGGAAACACAGAACACAACAGATGCATTATCCTTGGTACCTGAGAGAGGTCACTGTCACTTATTTCCAAATAAGTGCAAAAAGCCATCAAATGAATTTAATTGCCTTCATTACTTTTAACTTTTGCCAGCAGAGCATGGGGCTTACCTTCAGGCAGTGATAATCTTATTCCTTATGCATTTAAAATCTATGTTGAATAATCACACATGCTTTCATTAAAACATAGTAAAAGCCTTTAAATGTTCTACTTAAATGCTAGCCTCAGTGATGACTTGCACAATTAATTAAGGCAAAATAAAAAGCTTTTATTGTCTAAGTCATGTTGGTTTCAGTCCCTTTACTCTTGTTTTGAGAAATATAGCATGCAGGAATATAAAATCTAGCTTTCCAGCACCATTCATTGTATCTTCACCTTTAAATGTATAATACATAATTCCCCATTATGCAGAATCTTTTCTTAAATTAATTTGTCCCAATCTTTTGGTAGCATATTTTATTAATTTCTCTACTGTAATAACCATACATTGAGGAGACAGTTTTGCTGTGCCCTTCAGAATGATATACAAGTCTTCTTCCTGAATAGGCAAAGACGATTTACTGCCATGAGATATATATATTATTCCTCTTGATAAATCATTCTGTGTTGGTCATTCACTCAGTTCAGTGTGGCTAACTGAAATCACACTGTTTGGTCTTACAGTAAGAGGATTGCATGATTTTGCATCACATAAAAACACTGCAGCCATATGGTGAACTTCTTTTTTTGTGTCTCTTCAACAAACACACTATAGCTACTCCATTTCCTATTCTGGAATCTGCCAGCAACACCTACCATTGGTTCTGTGTTGTTTTCTCCAATACTTTTCTCAGCCTTTTTCTCAATCAATGATAGTTGTAAGCCTTCCAGATAGCGATTACTTATCTTCATGTTTAGTGTCCTGAGTGAGGTTTTTAGACAAGGGGTTTTTTTTTAGACAAGGTTTTTTTCAAAGTCCAAACCCATTTTAATAAACCAGCTACTTCCCACCTACTGCACTGCTGATGCTCTGAGAGCAGATTGCAGAAATACAAGGGCTGCGCTCGACATACCCGATTTTGCAATGATAGTTCAGCAACGATTAGGGTGCACACAACGTAACCAGGCTGGGTTTGCTGTTATAGTTCACAAGTGTTTCATTAGGATGAGTGTAATGTAAAGCCTTTCGGGGAAGGGTGAGTCAGCACAACCTTCCGCCACCTTCCCCTCCGCGAACAGCTGCCAAAGGCCTCCAGCCAGCCACGCCTGCCCGCCGGGGCACGGCAGCCCGCAGCACTCGCTCACTGTACTGCCAAGCGTCACTTGCAAAGGAGGCAGCGCTGTTTGTACCCGGGTGTTCCGCAGCGCTCGCAGGGCGGTGCAAATCGCCATCCCGGTTTCAGAGGGGGATGAGGAAGCAGGCGGCGTCGAGCGCCGGGCGCTGCCCGCCCCAGCGCCCTGCACGTGGCGGCCGGCCGCGGCCGGAGCCGCGCCCTGCGCGGGCGGGGCCGCCGCGCCCCCCGCCCCGAACCGGGCGGCCGTGCCCGTGCCCCCGGCCCGGCACAGACACCCGGAGCCCGGGGGCACGCTGTGGGCTCTCGGGCGGCTCTCCCCCCGCCGCCCTGCCCTGCCCTGCCCTGCCCTGCCCAGCCCGGGGGGAGCGGCGGGCGGGAGTGGGAGGAGCGGCCGTGCCGGGAGGGTGGGGCCGGGGCGGGCTCCGGCGGGGAGCGCGGCCGGGGCCCGGGCCCCCGGAGCGAGCGGCCGGGATGCGGTGCGGGAAGATGGCGGCGGCCCCGCCGGCGGCAGCCGGGGCGCCGGGCGCCTGGGGCGGCGTGCGGCGGCGCTGCCAGCGGCTGCTCTACTGGGTGCCGGTGCTCTTCATCTCCAGCATCCTCTGCTGGTCCTACTACGCCTATGTCACCCAGCTCTGCCTGCGTGAGTGCCGCCGCGGCGGCGGGGGGCGGGCGGGACGCGGGTGGGCGCCGCCGCCCCTGCCAGGGGAGCGCAGCCGGGCGGCGCGGGCACGGGCACGGGCGGCCGCCTCTGTTGTTTGGCGGGGCCGCCCCTGGATGCTGCTGATGCCGCCGCCACACCCGGACCGAGGCCGGGGCCGGGGCCGGGGCTGGACCGGACCGGTTTCCCGTGCCCCGACCCCCTGGGCGGGCGGGGGCCGCCAGCGCTGCCCGATGTCCCCCGCGACCCGTCGTGCCTTGTTTCCCCTCCCACGCGAGGAGGCAGCCGGCGCACAGGGCTTTCCGAGGCGTGAGTTTCCCTCCGTGGAGTGCGCAGAGTGGCCGGTCCCAGCCCCGGACGCGGGAGCGGGACCGGCCGTGCCGGCGGCTGAGCCGAGTTCGCGGTCCCTGCGGCGCATACACATGTACACACACGGTGCTGGGAATGGGTAACGGGAAATCCGCGAGCCTCCCTGTGCCACCCTTCAGTCGTCTAGAAAATGCCCAGCTGTCACAACTTCTTGATCCCTTCTTTGTCGTCGGCAGCGTGCCGGTACATTCGGAAGTCATCCTGGCTGCGCGCCTTGGCACCCGGTCCTTAGCGTCAGGCGGATCGTTCGGTACATACTGGAGGCTGGGTGTGATGTGTGATGTGAGCGTTCGTGTGAATTAGAGCAGCCGAGCCAGAAGGATTTATTAAATGACCAGCTCACTAGCCTGTCTTGGTTTGGGAGTTGGTTTTTTTTTTCGTGATTTTACTTCAATTACAGTGTATCTTGTAGAAAACCCTTGAATCTGATTTTCAGAGGCTAATGTGTGGCATATTGATGTTTCAGTAACAATGTCAGCATAATGGCACACAGGAATATAAGTTCGATGTACTTAGTTTTCAGCTGTTCATGTTGAAAATCTCAGCAGTCTAGTACCTAATTTTTGATTTTATCTTTTTTTAATAGCCTACAGAAAACTGATAGGATTTTTGTCCTGCGGATGCTTGGCTGAGCAGTTGAGGGATTAACCAAAAAATGATTGCCAGGCCTAGCACCTCTAGTTTTTGTATCAGGACTTGCTGTAGTTCCTATATTGGAGGTTAGGCTTTTTGCATTTTTTTCTCTGCTAACTCCATTTGCATCTGTTCATTTTAAGCAACACCCTTAAATAAAGTTGCTGTGCCCTCATGAGATGAACAATGAAGTGTCTACCTCCAGCACAAGGAAGCAAATTATCTGCAGGGTTCTGGGAATTGACTGAGTAAGCCTGGAAAGGGGAGCTGTAAGCTGACACAAGGAGGGCAAGGATGTTCCAGGGAAGAGCCACTCTGTAGTTAACGTTCTGCTGTATGCAGCCTTGTGTTAGGTACAGTAAGCTTGTTCTGGGCACTACTGCTTCAGTATTGTACTGTATTTTTTGTTTTGCATAACTGTACAACAGAATAAGATTGGGTTTTCAGCTTACCTGAAAGCAGGTTCCTCTTAAGTAGATGACATGCTTGAAACTTGCTTCAGACTATAAACTGTGGTTCATTGATTCCTTGAGAACCCCTCAAAGCAAAAGGCCCACAGTGGGAGGGGGAGGAAATAAAATCTTGGGGCTCACCTAAAGCATCTTTTACTGAATTCCTTTCAATGGACAAGGGCGATTTGTTTGTTTGTTTATTTCCCACCCACCCCGACACATTCCAGTGGGAGCTGGCTCACCAGGTTTTTAATTCAGCATAATAGTCATCCACAATCTCCAGTAATTCCATCTTTTGTCTATATCTGGATCTTTTTCCTCATTTTTGGTATATTAAAATAAAACAAGCTTATGTTTTGTCTTAGTGATGAATATTTAGTGTAAACAACAGAAGGAATAACTAACAGCTCTGGGAACGAAAGCCAACGGCAGGAATAGACTGCAAGCATTTTCTTGCTTTGAAGCCAGCCTGTCTGTCTATTCAGTGCATCTTTTATTCCTGCAGCACTGAATGCTAAAGAGGATGTATATAGCTGGGTTTTTTCCTGCAGCTCGCTGTCATTGAGGCTGACAACATACAGGGAACAGTGTTAACTGTTGTACAGTAGGACCTAGCAAGGACTTTGCGCTGTTGGAATGTAAGTGGTCTCTTTGAGCTTTTAATAATGAGAAAGTGTTTCAAATGTAGCATTTTGAATGTGTTTGTGGGGTTTTTGTCAGTTTATTTGTGGGGTTTTCTTCTTCAATTTCATACAAGCATTATAGGAGGGACAATTTTTTTTTTTAAGAAATCTACTAAGCTGATGCCTTATATACCTAAAGCTGAGTAGTTACAGTATTGAGTAGCATTTAGAAACAAAAAGAGGTTTTAGAAACAGAAATCCACTGTTTTTAACACTAGTATTGCCATGTCTAGAGTTCTGTCTCTTTTACTAGTGGATTCAGGTAAGTGTTCGTGCAGCTTTAACCTTTAATGAGAAGGAGAAAGGTGTTGAACACTAGCAAACTCTTATATCTGCTGAATGTAGAATGAATACTGGAATTAAATGTGTATATGAGTTGGTCTTAAAACACTCAACTATAATTTGCTTACCCCTAATCCAGTGCAATTCTCTTGATTTTGCCAGTATTGTCATCTCACAAGCCCTGTCTAGTAGTAGTACTTTTTTTTCACCCTGAATAACTTTGTGTTTAAAATTACCATCTTTAAGTATTCCTTCCCTTAAAAAATAATTTGAGTGTGTTTATGAGAACCTAAGGGATACAGATATGTTGTTCTTTCTCTAAAAAGGATGGGGAAATACAGGTGGTGTACAGCAAGTAAAGTGAACTTTGATAGCTCAAGCTACTGAAATTTCAACCTAGGATACATGGAACAGCAGTAACATGAAATGCAAATGAAATACTTCACCCTAGCACCTGTATCCATGTGTCTATACTGAAGAAAATGCACATTGGATTCACTGTTTGTGAAAACCTGAAAATGAACATTCAGTGTTTATTAAAATCTTTGCTTACTTCATATGCAAAGGAAAAAAAAAATATTCTTACATTTCCCTTCTTAGATACCTCTGTAATTCAGGTTAGTAGAACCATAAGGGACTTGGAGGAGTTATCGATTCCATGTTTTAGGTAGGGCAGAACCAGTAGTTACTTGCAGTTTCTGACAGTTCTTTATCAGAAATGTTCTTGGCAAATGCAGATACTGACATCGTTTTGTTTTGTTTTGTTTTCCTACCTGCTCAAGATTTGGAGTTGCATATAACATGGAAAATGTAAAAAAATTGACAGTGTTGTGACAGCTGTTTTTAGGAAAAATAACATCTTAGCTGATGAAAGGGTTATCCTGTAGATACCCTGTATTCAATAGAAAATGGATGGTTTTTTTCCAGTTTTGATCAATTTTTTCATGGTACTGATTTTAATTCACAGGATAATGCTCTTACTCAGGGAGTCCTGTCAGGAAATGCAGCTTGAATTAGTAATTTTTAAGAAGGAAAATAGATTTACTCTGGGACAAACAAGCAATAAGCATTTTGTGACTATTCCAGTGAAGGGAAAGGGAGGAAATATTGCCACCTGGTGAGTGATTTGCCTGATTTGGAAAAGAATAAATTACTTCAGCATAGCTGAAGAGTGAGTACAACAAGACATTGACAATACTGTTAGGAATGCTCATAAGTCACAGCTTTGTTTTTGGTGTGGAATATATGACTGGTATCTGTCCACGTCTACCTTCAGAATGGAACAGAAAGCATGGAATGACATCCAGCTGCTAAACATGTTAATGATCATGAAAGATTTTTGCTGGATGATCGGATTGATTAGTGCTGAATTGAGGTTTTTGACCCTGTGAACCATCAGTGGAATGGAATTATAACGGGATATAAAGCTGCTTAATTCATCACTGTTTAGAGGCAGAATTAATACATGCCCTGTGGGCTTGGCACAGTGTCTTTAGGGCAGTGGCAGAAAATAAGGAGATAGAAGCTGCTGATAGGGTGAGGGGGGAAAAAAAACTAAAAAAAAAAAAAAAGGTCAGACCCAGGATTTGGTCTGCTGGATTCAAGCTCTTTGCTCAGTATGTTCTCTGGGTAGATTAAAGGATTTATGGTACTTGCAGCTTATGTCTTGTAACCATTTAGAGCTTAGGTTTGGCTATAGAAATACAAGTACATTGTAGCATTGCAGTTGGCTGTTGTCAAATACCGGTTAAATATGCTGTCTGCACATTAGCTGCTAAGGTGCAAAAGTACTTTGGTTCAAGGAAGTTTGCATTTTTATTCCATATTTTGGAAATACTACCTTTTTTTTTTTTTTTTTTTTTTTTTTAATTTTTTCTTTTTTTTTTTTTTTTTTTTTTTTTTTTCCCCTCTTCTGACATCTTTGGTTACTTTGAGAAAAGTTTCAAAACTGGTGACTGAAGTAGAATTGGCTTCTGAATTATAGCCAGCAGTGCTTCTGTGCATTTCCCAAATTTCATTTAAGTGCTTTCTCAGACTTTCAGAGGCAGCTGCATTCTACAGCTCTGAAACAGAACTGAAGACTATGTTAAGTATGGCTGGTTATCTCTCTGTGTAGTGCCCAGTATACTACCTGTAGGTCTTGTGCCTTGAAATGTAAACCATGGTTGGAAGTTAAAAACGTAAAGTCTGTGGTGAAGATACAGTTACTGGTTAAGTATGTTTTCAGGAAAAGGTTTAACACTGATTGAGACATAACTTTAAGAGTTGTTCTTGTCAGGCTGCAGTTTTTGTTTGCTGAAAAGTTTCTGGCAATGCTGGCAACATAAGTGTCTGCAACTTTGGTAGAGCCAGACACTTTTCATTCTTCAATCTGTCTTTGTGATTTGGAAAGTAAATGAGAAGTTTGTAAAGAGGAAAGATTAAGTCAGTTCTTGCTCATACCCTATACAAAAGCAGTGGTTTTGTGACCTTATGTGCAAAGATAGCTAATAGCAAACGCTGCTGGGCAAGTGCACAGTTGTGCATTTTGATGAGCACAGGGTTAAAATGAATCTTCTGAAAC